TCGTCCAAGCAGTCACTGCAGAGTCAGTAACGACTGAGCGCAGATTAAAAAAAAAAAAAAGCTGTGATCCTGTAAACTTATAGCTGAGCAAATTCCAATGAAGTCAATTAGATTGATGAATATTAAATGCAAATTAAATTACCAACAAATGCAATTTCCGACTTCAGAAGTTTCTATAAGAATGCTTAGAATTCTTATTAGACCTCCCACAACTATATGATATACAATCGTGTTATGACTTCTTGCTTTAATCATTATTACCTAGCAGTCAGATCAATAGCTTTAATCATCTTCAACCATGTCTGTCTTAGAGCACCATCACCACTTCTGTCTCAATAACAAATGCTAAACATACAGGTATTCATCCTGCCTCAATTCTGTTGCATTCAGAGAATTTTGACCCCTGACCTAAGATGCACATTACAGGCAGAATAAATTGGGGGAAAAAACTATAAAGAAGTCAAGTTAAACAAAATAGTAACTGATGGATAAATTCAAGTTTTAGCTGTTTGGCTTAGTATAGAATTTTGTTGCATAAAACTACTAAATAAACAGAGTGTTGACCTAAACAAACTACAGTAAATCTCTCTCAGAGCAGAATATATTTTGGCAATGTATTTTATTTCAGGTTCAATTTTTATTCTGTGAACTTTCATATTTGTATTGGACCACATGATTTAACCAGTCTGACTACTTCCATTATGCCTCCTATTATTTTTGTTACTATTCTCACTAATATTCCTAATATTCATTGCTTTTGTTTGAAAAAAACACAATAATTCTGATCTAAACATGACTGAAAAGTTTGAATTAACAACTGTAACATTTTAACTCAAACATTTACAGACACAAGATTACAAATGCTGCTCCAGCTTGTTTGGCAGTTCTTAAACTAATTGCTTACACGTAATGCAAAAGATATGCACAAATGTTACAAAATGAAGTTTTGTTGTATATTCTTCTGCATTAATAGTATAATGAAGAAATAGTACTAATTCCAAATAAAATACTATTTTTTCTTGGTTTATAAAGACAAGTTAGGGGCATTTTTCTTTTTTTCACATATCATGGTATGCTATTGTTTGTTTAAGGTAGTTTTAAATAAGTTTCAGTTGACTGAGTTCAAGTATTGGCCAGGAATAAACCACACTATCTGCGTTCATACAATATGCTGAGCTGAAACCAAATAAAGTATATAATATTTGATCACTAGGCTACTAATAATTGACCTAATCATGGCTTATTAAACCTAGTTGTGTGGGTTTGCATGACACTCCTAATCATAAACTAACCACATAAGCTGGTTTTTCACAAGATGCTGGCTAGTTTTTGCAAATACTGCCAGTGGCTTAGTACAGTGTGTGAACCAGGTAACTGCTTGTTTGTTTATTTCATACAGTAGAAGGGATCTGAAAAATTTCACACATTCTGACATACACTATTTGTTACCTTTAACACAATCATAAAAATATAATACTTTGATATCTACTTGCCAAGAGTAGACTATTTAAATCTAGAATATTATTTTTTATCCACAGAGTATGAGTCTGAATAGCTTATAAAATAAACTTCAAAGTTAGTCCATTTTACATAACTAACACATTGGAGTGAAGTTCTGAACTGAATGAAGTGTATTATTTTAAAGGAAGTAAGGAATTCCCCATGTGGAAAGAATGTCAGTATACGTAGCAGTATAGCATAGTTAACTGTATTTTTAAATTATGAACCATTTTACAGGATATAATGATTCTCATACATACATTAAGATGTAAAAAAGGGAAGTGAGCAAATCGATGCATGGAGAGTTTACATCACTATTAGTGGGAGGGGAGACTCAGTTCATATTTCTTCTATTTTATGAACGTAGAGTTCATTTAACAAATCCTGTGTTCAGATCAGCCTGTTCACTATCTTTTTTCATGGTTTCTGGAGCATTTAATGGATAGGATTCCTTGGTTTCTATTGGTATACATCTTAAGCATTTTAAACAAGAGCCTCCTATCTTGACAAAATCCTGGTAGGTATTCTCACTTGAAAAGCAATATAGTACGGGATCTGCAGCACAATTAAAAGTGGTCAACAAAAGAGAAATATGATAGATGTTAAAGATTCTGGCAGCAAATTCACAGCTCTTCTCAAATAGGCTGCGTATTAACAAAAGAACATGATATGGTCCAAAGCAAATTAAGAAAATTAAGATTGTGCTTGAAACTAGGCGTTTAATTTGAATTTTCCTCTTTTTCTGAGTGCCATGACTCTTCCGGACAATACGTAGAATTCCATAGTAAGAAAAAATAAGGAGGCAAAATGGAAATAGGAAACCAGCTGTGAAACGGTAAAAGTTTATGTTGTGTTCCCAGCTTTTTATGGGATAGTGCTCAAAGCACACTACGTGGCTCTCTGAGTCTTTACTCACTTCTCCATGTGTAAAAACCAGCCAACAAGTCAGAATTTCCTTAGTCCAGATGACAGCGCTCACCACCATAGCAGCCTTCATTGTACGACACTGGTGGAAACGAAAAGGATGCACCACTGCAAGGTAACGGTCAATGGAGATGCAGCAGAGGAAGCCCACGCTGATATAGATATTTTCATAAAGGAGGATGCCACAAATTTTACATAAGAGTTCGTTATAAGTCCAGTTGTCATGCTGCAAAACATACTGGAGCCAAAAGGGTAGAGAGAAAATGTAAAGGAGATCTGCTATGGTTAAATTGCAAAGGTATATTCCTAGTTCATTCTTGACCTTAACTTGCAAGTAGGCATAGTACAATGAGAGACAATTGGCTGGGAGTCCTACTACAAAGACAAGTATATATATCACAGGTGACAACATCTGATGTATACTATGATCAATTGTGCAGTTGAGAGTATTATTGTCCATCACCTCTTCTAGAAGGATCTCCATGTTCTGCAGTCTGCTAGCTCAGCAGTCATATTTTTATTCTGTCATTTCATTATCTCTACATTTGCTTTACATGATTATCAGTACTTGTAATCACCTGCAAGAAGAAAAAAAAGTCACAAAGCAATCCTTATTAAATCCATGAACAATAAATCAGTTTTTTTTTTCATAGTTCAGGAACACAAAGGCTGCACTCCAACACACAAAACCCCTTGAACTTAGTAACTGTGTTCCCACATCACAGTAAGCTATGGTTCATTTAACTATCAATTTTTGAATAAATGAAAGTTGATTGCTTTCAACTTGCTATGTCATAAATGAATGTACAGAGGCCACAGATGAACATACAACATGCATAATATATTTTACTTAATTAAACCTGTTTTCTCAGTTTGTGCTACAGTGAGGGACAGAGTGGTGGACTAGTACCAGAAAGACTTGAGGGTTCGCATTTATCCTTAGCCATAGTAAGCCTACCAGATCTGGGCTGCCAAGATCTGGATGATCACCAGATGGCAGCAAAAGGTTCTCTTTGCTGTCTTCTCATTAGTACTGTCTGAATTTTTGCAGTCCAGATCTGGTAGTCCTAGCCAAGAGACTCAGTGGGTGTGCCTAGATCAATTGTTCTGTCTCAACCAAGTTCAGTTATAGGATTATTGTTGTGGGGATAAAATGAAGAGAAATTTCCATACAAGCAGCCTTTGGGCAACAGAAGAAATACTACATTATTATTTATTACTTATTTATTTGATTTGTATGGCTGCCCATCTCATTTAAGTGATTCTGGGCAGCACACAACAGGTAAAAATCCAATAAAAACAAAAACTAATAGAAACTTATAAAAACTGTCCATAATCAATTTAAAAAACAAAATCACAATCAGCAGCAGGATTAATTCTACATCAGTTCAATTCAGTCATTGATAAACAGCAATAAATTATATTGGTTGTGTTTGCATGCCACATCCAACTGAACTGTAGATGACTAGTTTGTGGTTCACCGTATTATACAAACCTAGCCTGTATTGCTATATACAGTATAAGTCCATGCAATAGAGTTTACTTCTAGATAGATGTGCTATCAAATGATTTTTATTTTAAGAATGGAAAAGTCAGTTTAAAGTTAGGGCTTCATAATAAACACGGAATAGATAAGGTTACAGAGCTAGACTATTTATGCTGTTCAGTATAAATGAGGTGACAACGTTGGCTCACCTTAGAAGTTAAATAGTGTTAGCTCTGGTTGGTACTTGGATGAAGCTCTGGGAATTTCAGAGCTGTTGGTTAGACTAGGAAGTTGGGGGGGGAAAAACTTGAAAGAAGATAATGGCAAACGACTTCTATAATGGGGCCAAGAAAAGTGCATGAATGAAGTCTTTAGGAGCTGAGCTCAACTCAAGGATATCATTACCGTTTTAAAGATACCACAGAAGTACAGATACCATTGTGGAGAATATAGTTAGCTCAGGGTTGGAGCGTCAGGTTGTAAGAGTTCTCTGATCTTGGTTTTCTTTTTTCAGATGTTTCATTGCCTGCCTTGGTAATATTTTCAGTACTATGATCTTGGAGAAGTGCGGTCTGCTAGAGTTGTGGAATATACCTGTCCTACTAGCCTTGTATGTGATTGGGTGGGTTCTGTTGTTAGGTTTTGTTGTTTTCTATATAACTGACACGTCATTGTCTGGTTTTTGCTATACTGATGGGTTGCCACCTTATGTTTACAGGTAGTCCTCAATTTACGACCACAATTGGGACTGGAATTTCTGTTGCTAAGCGATGCAGTCATAAAGCAAGGCATCATGTGGCCACATAACTTAGTGATCGCAATCCCAGCAGTCCAGTTGCTGTCGTTAACCAAGAATCACAGGTTGTTAAACAAGTACCCACCCTAATCCAAGCCATTCCAGGCTTGGTCCCTCCCAGCCCTAAGCTTCAGTAAGGTGAATAGGTGGGTGGACTGCCTCCAGCTCTACCCACCTATTCCCCCCTCCCATCTCTGCCCTTCTAGCTGCCCTGTACCCTGTATTGCAGGGCAGCAAACTGCCCCAGGACCACACAGCTCCTGCAGCCCCAGGAAGCTGCAACTGCTCCCGACCAGTCCCAGCCACAGTCTCCCTCACCACCCTGCACTCCAAGACCCCTGCTGCCCTGCACTCCCCTGCCCCAGCTGACCAAAAAGCCCCTTTGCAAAAAGCTCCTGGAGTGCGGCGCACCAACACTCCCCTTTAGAACAAGCTCCTGGGTGGGGCTGGGCTGGGCTTTTGCTTTGTACTGCAAAAAAAAAAAAAAGCTGAAAGCAGCCGCTGAGCAACAGTGCACCAAAATGCCCCTTTGTGGCATG